GTGAAATAAGTCAGATGGAGAAAGACAAACACCACATGATTTCACTCATATTTGATATAGAAAAATCAAATAAATGAATGAACTAAATAAAACAGAAATAATTTTTTAGACTGTAAAACCAAATTAGTGGTTACTAGAAGAGAAGAAAGAAAAGATGGATAAATTGGGTAAAAAGGACCAATTGTGTGGTGAAGGATAAAATTGGACTTTAAGTATTAAACTTTATACATCTTTGTATACAGATTATGATTTATGATTGCACACCTGAAACTTATGTTGTAATGCACTGTAACTTGAATGAGAAACTACATTAAAAAAGAAAAAATAAGAAGAATGACCTCCCTTAAAAGGGACATTTTGGTAGATCCTAAAGTTAAGAATGATAAGGCATGGGGCCTCCCCCATGGCGCAGCGGTTGAGCGCTGGGCTGCGAAGCTGCCTGCAGCCTCTGCAGCGCCGGTTCGATCCCCGGCCACTGGTCGAGGGTCCCACATGGCGCGCAGACCTCTCCTGCCACCTGCTGCTCCCCTCAGCAGTGTACTTCATCAGTCTGCCTGCTCTGCTCTCCCCTCTGGCTCTGGTGAATTCTCTCACCCTCCCACGCTTCTGACTATACCCAGTGCTTGTATAAACAAATAAAAAATTAAAAATATTTTTAAAAATTAAAAAAAAGAATGATAAGGCATGCAGAAAACTACAAAGAACATTGTGACCATAGGAAACAGTAGGGACAAAAGCCTTGATATGGGAAGGGCCAGGTTTCCTGTGTGTTAACTGAGAATATATGTCTCCCCACCTATACTGCTATGAGTTCTGTGGTTATCGCAGTAAATTTAAGTATAAAATGACCTGATATGGTTTGATATATAATAAAAGGAGAAATGGAGATCTTTTGCTCTACTTGTAGAAAGAAAAGAAAATGAGGGTGAATGCCAGAAAATATTCAGAGATCCATATGTTGGCTTCTATAATCAAATGCTACACTGTATGATGCCAGTTGTTGATGTAGGAGTTCACACGGAAGGCAAAGATCTTGGCCTGGATTTCAAACTTGACCAGAGCTTGAAGAATAGATGAATTTGGGTTGGTCAAAAGAAAGCCAAAAAGGGTGTCTCAAGATGAGAGCACTTTATAAATATATATGCTAAGGTGCACCACAGAAAAAAAATAGAAAGGTAATTATTAATAAAGATGGAGATTTTAACTAAACTTATCATGGTGGCAATTTCGCCATATATATGTGTTCCAAATTATCACATTGATCACCTTAAACTTACTCATTATGATACGTCAGTTACATCGGCAATATAAGTATAGCATACTCCATAATGCCAGATATAAACATTTAAGGAAAAGAAAAGATAATTGGAGTGGACTGAACTGAAATGGGTGCCTGCGATCATAAGGTTCATGCTGGAGCCAGAGTGGTCTTTGAGAACAGTAGTTGGGTTTGATTCATAGAGGTCATTGAGAAATCAGTAGGTCAGTTTTGACCTGATGTTTTAGACAACAGAGGGGATCATTACAATTTGTTGAACAAGAACATTGTATGGTAAAAAGAGAAATTTGGTTATATGGATACAGAATTTTTTAAAAAGATTTATTTATTTATGCATACAAGAACTCCATTTATGCATATAGGCCAGAGATGGAGGGGGGCGGGGGTGAGAGGATTCACCAGAGACAGAGTGGGGAACAGAACAGGCAGATTGACTGAAACACACTGCTGAGGGGAGCAGCAGGCGAGTCAGGAGAGGTCTGCTGCGCCATGTGGGTAGCTCCCTGGCTGGCTGGCAGATTGAACTCATGCTGCAGAGGCTGCGGATAGCCTCATAGTGCTGTGCTTAACCCCTTGTGCCACCAGGGAGGCCCCCATATGGATACAAATTGATGAAGACAGGAGGGAAAACCCAAGGGAATGGAAGTCGTGTAGGAAGACCTTCTTTTTCAGCAGGGCCTTGATTATATCCAGTAATCAAAGCATATGGATTATGCTTATATCATGAAAAGATAATAGGCTTGCATATTACACATTTTCAGGGAAATTAACATTGATATTTGATGACTAAAGAGTAATAAATCAAAAGTCAAAATGTCTCTCTCTTGAGCCTCAGGAACTGGCAAAACAGTAGTGTCAATGATGGAACTGGGGCAGGTAGCATAGAACATTAAATGATTGATTTCATTGTGGACATGTTAAATTTCAGAAGACAATAAAACTCCTAAGTTGTGATGTGAAAATGTAAGTAGAAGTACAGAACTAGAGCTAGAACAGGAAGTTGAATGGCAATGCAAATGGGTGATGGGAACTGAGGGCTTAGCTCCTGAGACTGGACACCCATAAGTAATAGTGAATGTGTATGTATTGGGGATAGGGAGACACACCCACAAGCACATGCCTGTACTTTATCATCATAAAAACTATAACTAACCTTTTAGAGTGAACACTACGTGTCCTAAGGTCTTTAAATATAATAGCTCATTCATTTCTTTCCATAGCCTTTAAAATAGTAAACACTATTGTTATCCCCAGTTGTATAGACGAGGAAGTTTAGGCACAGGGAGATTAAGCTCTGTTCCCCAAATTACCCAATTTGAGGAAGTGGAGCTGAGAATCAAAAACAGGTACTGTGTTTTCAAAGCCAAAGCTTTAACTCCCATGCTTGGTTATAATATCCACGATGGTGTTTTAATTGCATAATTTGACTTCCATTTTATCTAAGTTTCTTGAAAATTAGTTAATTAAGTTTTAAAAGTTTGGTGAAAACAATGTTGTTGCTGAGCAGTGATTGGATGATTCCTTACAGCAGAAGAGAATTTGCGATTCTCTAGCCTAAAGCAAAAACAAGGAAGGAAGTATACACCTTCTGGCCTATTTTTTTCTTTTGCCTTTCGTTCTTTTACCTTTAATTGTTGGAAAAGGAAATTATCCACTTTAAAGAGAATTAAAGTAATAATTTGTGGGGGGGGAATTATACCTCTATTTTTTAGTGCTTTCTATATACTATAAATGCATGTCCTTTTTATACACTGGGAGAGTTAGTTAGCTTTTATAAATTGATTGTCAAGCAAATTTTTACAATAAAGCTCATTAGTTTCTTAACATTCATTGCTAAGTGACATTAATTTTCAGAAAAAGCAGAGATTCAGAAATGAGTGTCTACATTTGTATAACTGGATTATCTTTAGCCTCAGTCTTGGAGTGTCAGTGACTAGCTTTCTTTGTGTGGAGATTCAGATCTCAGAACAGGAATTGTGGTCTGGAACCTTTCCCTCCTGAGAAGCCACACATGACTACTTTGACAGTGGCTTTAATGACTGCTTCCCCATAGACTGAAAGAGGATTTTGCTTCTATTCTCCGTGCTTTTCAGGGCTCCCCAACCTATGTCACCCCTCTGGTGAGGTAGAAAGAAATAGTACATTCCCAGTCCACCCTGCTCAGTCATACAGTATAACATCGACTATGCAAAGCCCTGCTTGCTGCCACAGCTACAGCAGGGAAGCAGTAACAGTCCTTCCTTCAATTAGTAAATTAACTCAGAGCATTTTTTTGGACCTAAATCTGAATGGATATCATCTAATTCATCTTGTTGAAGTACAGTTCTGTGCAAGTGAGCTGGCCACTGAAAAATTTTCCATATTTTCCCATTTTAACAGGATAAATTTCTTAGCCTTACATTTATAACTCTGTAATATGGGCCCATGCTGTGTATATCCAATCTTACTTTCCAGTGTTATTTTCTGTCATGCAAACTGACCTGTTCTATTACTTCTGCAGGCTCCCATCTATGTGTTTGCACTGATACCTTTAGAGACACCCCCTTCAGTTCCCACTCATCACTCCAATCTCTGGTTTTATTAGTCCTTATAACATGTGCATTCAATCCTCATCTAAATGTCTTCACCACTGTGCATCTTACTGAACTCATATGTGATGCACATCTTATTGTACATCATATGAACGCCTATGTAATTTTATCTCCAACTCTCTTTTTATCTGTGTTCTAGATGTCTATGTGTATGTATTATCTTCTTACTGGATTCTGAGCAGAATTTGTACCTACTTTAGCTTTATATCTTCCATATCACCTACACTTAACATCAGAGAAAGTTAAAACTACAAAGGACTGAGAGGACATACAAATTGCTTGGAATGCATGGCCTTTTAAAACCTCTCCTTTCTCTGTGCCCTGATATATGTGATGCGAAACAGGACCAGATCTCCTGATTTTTAATCTGGGGCTTATCCACCAATAATAGTGGTTCTCCCATTATGTCAAGATCTCCTGACATCTTCTGTGGTGCTTTTAAAAATAATGATTAGGCAAACTTTTGCTATTTGTGGCAACATGGATGGTGCTGAAAGAGATTATGATAAGTAGAAATAAGTCAGAGGAGAAAGATAAATATCAGGTGTCATTTAAAAGCGGAATATAGAGAAACTAAACAAAGGGACAGAGAAAGCCAAACTTTAAAAACTGCTCTTGAAAATTGGTTATAGAACTGAGGAATCCAGAGGGGGAAAGGAGCAGAGGGGAGGGAGCAGAGTGGACTAAGGTAGTGGACTACAGTGATTTGGTGGTGGATGCGCAATGGTAATAACACTTGGAGGGGAAGAGGTTGGAAACCCTGTAGTCCCAAAATACAAACAATGATGTAAACCAACATTACCTCAGTTAAAAATAATATAAATAAATAATAAATAATGCCTATAGTAAAATAAAAATAAAAATTCCAGTCTGACTGCTCCAAATCCTAGAAATTAGAATCTCAGCAATGCGAACCAGATAATTGATATTCTTCAAATCTCACATTATTCTAATGTATAATCAAAACTCCTAAAATATACCCCAGAGCACGATGACCCCTGGGACAATATTACTTTTCTAGGTAATTCTATTAATTGAGAAACTTATCTTTTAAAAAAAAATTCAATGTGGAAAAGTATATAGTACATTGTTTTGCTTACAATAGCTTAATTAACTGTTTAACTTTTCAGATATTTCGAAAGAAAGCAGTAGAACTTGGGATAAAATTGCTTCCTGCATTTCATACTCCCTCTGGAATACCTTGGGCATTGCTGAACTTAAAAAGGTAAAGTTCTTTATTTTCAACAACATATTTCCAGTTGAAATATTCAAGATTGTGCTCTAACAAACAGCAGTGGATAATTACTTGCAAAATGTTTGTTATTGACACCATTTTGTGTCTTAGCTGCTATCCTTGTCTTAGAAACTATTAGTTTTTTTTTATAATAAATTTTATTTTTATATTCCCCATACAATTGCAACCCCCCCATTCTGACCCCAATCCCTCCCCTCCCGCCCCCCAACCCCCAAAAAGTGTCTCTGGTTCATAGTTTTTTGTTGATTTTGATTTTCACTTTCTTATAGTTATTCATTTTCCTGGTCCCTTATTTAAGTTTTCTAGATTCCTGCTATGAGTGAGACCATCCGGTATTTTTCTTTTTCTTTTTGGCTTATTTCACTGAGCATGATCCCTTCCAGTGCCATCCATGTTGCTGCAAATTGCATGTGTTTATCTTTTTTGAATGCTGAGTAATATTCCATGGTATATATGTACCACATCTTCTTGATCTAGTCATCTATTTTGGGGCATTTGGGCTGTTTCCAAAGCTTAGCTATTGTAAACAGTGCTGCTATAAACATAGGTGTGCAGGTGCTCTTTGGAATTGATGTTTCTGTGTCCTTTGGGTAAATACCTAGGAGTGGAATTGCTGGATCATATGGAAGCTCTATGTTTAGTAGGTCAAGAAATCTCCACACAGCTCTCCATAGTGGTTGGACCAGTTTGCACTCCCACCAACAGTGCAGGAGAGTTCCTTTTTCTCCACAACCTCGCCAACATTTGTTATTGCTAGTTTTTTTAATATGTGCCATTCTCACTGGTGTAAGATGATATCTCATGGTAATTTTGATTTGCATTTCCCTGATTACAAGTGATGTTGAACATTTTTTCATATGCCTGTTGGCCATTTGCATTTCCTCTTCAGAGAAGTTTCTTTTTAGCTCTTCTGCCCATTTTTTGACTGGGTTATTTTCTTTGTTGTTGTTGAGTCTCATCAGTTCTTTGCAGATTTTTGTGATCAGTCCTTTATCATTAGTGTTGGGTGCAAAAATGTTCTCCCAGTCAGTGGGGTTTCTCTTTGTTTTTGTTATTGTCTCTTTTTTTAGGGTTCCATGGTATAAGATAGGCTCCCATCATCAGATAATATCACTCCAATAGAGTATCTAAGCCAGACATAATTTAAGATTTTTACTATTTCATGGTAATGTTGCATCTGTGATACTGTTTCATCCTAGATACCAAGAGCATCCTGTTATTTTTTAAACTGTCATCAAAGCTTTTTACTTTGAAGAAGCTAATCCCCAAGCATACTTAATTCCAGTTAAGTTGCTGGAAAGAGATATTGCGGAGATACAACACATGAACTAAATCAATCTTCCCATGCAAAGTCCTGGTGTAACTAAGATTGTGGTACCAGCTCACAGTTTGAAGGAGGGAAGGGAACTGCTCCACTGACCCAGATGAACCCAACCTTCTCACCCCATCTGGGTGGAGAACCCTGGTGTGTCAAGTCAATGGGAATGTGACCTGAAAAGAAACTGGGCTGACCAGACTTTCTGGTTATTCTCCCAGGGAGTAGTTTGAAATTCCATGATAGCTTTATTGAAATTCCATGATAGCTTTATTTCCATGATAGTGTTATTAATAAACAGTCTAATAGTAAACTCCTTCTTAATTCCTTAAGAATTACTTAATTCCTTAAAAATAATTTAATTCATAAGTAATTTGTTACATGTGTTTCCTTGATTATGGTAGTGGTGGTGGTGGTAGTTGTGATGGTGATAGTTGTTTTACAGTAATAAAATATGAAGCTTTGTTATAGACTCTTTACACACTTGACATATTTAATCCTCACAACAATCCAGTAAAGTCAGTAAAGTTGTTATGTCCATTTTACTAAAGAATTGAAGTCACAAAAAAGATGGAGACATTTGCCTGACATCACACTGCATTTAAATGGCAGAGCTGAGGGTATATTCTTGGATGTTTATATACATGCTGATGCATAGGCACAAATTAAACAGCTTCCTTGTTTTAGACATGCCAAAAAGATTTACAGAGTGGTTTGGCAGGATTAATGTGCTTTTCTTCTTAATTATTTATTTTAGTGACATTCTTTCCTAAAATTAATAATGAGAAATCATTAAATGAATCCTTTGACTAATAGAACAGTTAAATGTCATGCTTTGTTTTAATTTGGAAGTTCTGTTTCTATGCCTCAAAATCCTCCTGTGCCTATGTGTGCTTGGGACCAGGCAGGTATGCTAAGGCAGTGAGATGAGGAGAGTCAGTCCACACCTCTAGGCCATATTAAATTGAAGTAGTTGTTTCTCTCTTTTTTTTTTTTTTTTTAAGATTTTATTTTATGCATTCAAGAACTAAGGTACAGGCCAGAGATGTGGGGGTGAGAGGATTCACCAGAGACAGAGTGGAGAACAGAACAGGCAGATTAACTGAAGTACACAGCTGAGGGGCGCAGGGGGTGAATTGGGAGAGGTCTGCTGCGCCATGTGGGTCACCTTGGCCAGGGATCGAACTCGTGCTTCAGTGGCTATGGGCAGCTTCATAGTGCTGTGTCTTAATCCTTTGTGCCACCAGGGAGGCCCCTGAAGTAGTTCTTTTCTTGTATAATGTGATCCTCTCAGGATCTGTTTTCCCTCTCGGTGTCGTATGACTTCCTCTGTCAGCTTGAAGATCACAGTATATGTCTGCAGGATCTTAAGGCAGGAGTGGGGTGAGCTTGACTTGGAGGAAGTCTGCTCTTTGTTCCGTGACTCATGAGTTTTTCATATAGCTTGTGTAGACCTCTTTGTTCCATGACTCATGAGTTTTTCATATAACTTGTGTAGACCTTTCATATAGCTTGTGCATTACCTTCCATTACTTCAGACTTTGGAATTATTCATAGAATTCTGACCTGGGGGCTTCCCTGGTGGCTCAGGGGTTAAAGTGTCAGGGATATCAAGCAATAGCCATCCATTGAGGCATGAGTTCCATCCCTGGTCAGGAAGCTAACCCATATGGTACAGCAGACCTCTCCTGTCTCACCCATTGCTCCCCTCGGCAGTGTATTTCAGTCAGTCTGCCTGTTCTGCTCCCTGCTCTGTCTCTGGTGAATCCTCTCACCCCCTACATTACTGGCTTACACCCCAGCTCCTGTATGCATAAATCAGTAAAAATAAATCTTTTTTAAAAAAAAGAATTCTGGTAACTGAAATAAGATCTGGTCCCCCCCAAAAAAACCACAGTGCACACTTAACACACTTTTTTCCTAACAACCCAGTGAGAAAAATAATATTGGCATTATTAGTACACTGCGTTATTCAGAGACTGGTCCTAGGTATGTTACAGCTACACTCAGGTTGTGTTTACAGCAATCATTCAAACTCTCCAGGCTAAATTTTGCACCGGAAGTTAGGTTGAATGCTTTTTTGGTGAACCGTTTCAAGTTCACAGAGAACTCTGAGACTCTGATGAAGGCATGGCCCTCTCCTTATCCTCCTTAGTCCTCACTGAGTACAGATACATTTACACAGCTTATAAAAGCCCACATAGGAACTAAGGACTCCAAGTTTAAAATCCTGGAGTAGATGATTACTCAGCCTCCAAGATTCCTGAGGACTAGTTTTCATTGCTTTCTGGAAGGTAATGAAATTAGATAAGGGCCAAGTAAAACTAATAGAGTTGTGGACCTACATCTTTGCAAAAGTTCAAGTCAATTATTGTAAGGTGCTGATATCATTTAATTAGTTCTAGCCTCTCGATTATAAGCATAAGAAATTGGATGATTTTAAAGCATATTTAACTTTACTTAGTGTTTATTTCTAACAGCCAAGAGGATCTTTCCATAGTTAAATCTATCCTTAGTGTACAGTGGAGATATTTTTAATTTCATAAGGGACTAATTCTAAAAAACTATTAAAGACTGAATCTTATCTTCCATATCTAAGCCTCTTGAAAATTCATTAACTGGGGCATTCAAATTTTTTTGTAAGCTCTTACTTTGCATTTACAGTATTTTACCTTAGAACTATTTACAGTATTTTACCTTAGAACTTTTTGCTTAATTTCAAAGATTACAGGAAAATTATTTATGCTGAAAAATGTGCCATTTCATTTATGCATTCTCTGATACTCTTATGTTAAAATATGGAAAACTAGATGACTGACAATTGACAGGAACACTTTTAATTTCTTCCTGGCAACCGTATGAGCATTTTTTATTATATATTTTATTGACTCTCAATCCTATTTGCTAAATAACAGTGACTTACCCAAATTCATATAAGCATTGACAAAATGAATAGTAATATCAATCTACTAATATTCATACTATGCCTTTGCCCAATCAAGTATTCTTATCAAATCCACTTTTCTTCCAGCTGTGAAGCTGATTTATCATCTTAAAGAATTTCCTCTAGGGGAAGAAAACATTTCATATTTATCTGCAATAATTACATTTTGAGATGTGCTGTTGATGTCAACCTGTACATATTTGCTGTTCCTCTGAATCTCTGTCTTTTCACAGTGTAGTTCAGGGGATAATTGACAGCTGGCATGGAACTTCTTTTCTATTTTTTTGAAGGCTGTCACCAGTAGAAGCTTCAAAGAAAGATGAGGAAAATATATCTGGCCAAGTTTTATTTTCTTAATTACTTTCTCAAAATATGGGAGTGTTTGTAGAAGGATGCCCAGGAGAAAAAAGTACTTAAGGATGCTTTTTATGTAGAATAGCTGCACATTGACTGTTGACTTACTTTGAAATTCTTGGCAATAATTATGATGGAAGAGGCACAGAATATGCAGTCTGTAATATCCTAATTCTGTTCTCCTCTCTCAATTTTGAAAATGGTTGTGGATGCTTCACTTTGCCAACACCTATATGTTATCAAAAATGTAAACTTGTTGGCATTATCTGTTCATACTCCTCTGGTATTCAGGTTATTACCTATAGATAATTAGTTTCTTTACCTTTTATTTATTTTAAAAAACAAGCATTTATGTGA